ACGTTCTGGCCAGAGTACTGAGCCTTGTTTCCAAACTCAAAGTTGAATAAGAAATGGAAGGTAAATTGTAGCATAGACTTGACCGTCATGGAATTGTAATAAGATGTAAATGGAAGTGTAAGTGTTGACCATCTATCAGTTGCTAATCTCTTAGTCATTGTTCATAGTTGGTTTAGTATAATTCTACTGGGCTGTGGCTCACCCTATATGGGGACATCATTTTCAGGTACAGGTAACTTGCCACCTCCGGGGACGTAGCTTGAGAGGCTAGGGGGCTGACGGACTTTTGTTGTTTGTTCCTTGATGTAATGCATGTAATTTCAAGCCAATGGCTTAATATACATTTGAGTTAGTACTCTATTTTCTTGTAACCAAGTGTTGACTTGGAAAGCTGTAAGCCCGTAGGGCATTTGCTTTTGTTGTTAACATGTAATACTTTTGTAAAGAAATACTCTGATGAATTGAAGAATGTGGATCTTATATATGTAAATGCTTGTCTAGTGAGTGGGTTTAATGTTATTATTTTGAGGGCGTTACAACTTGGTATCAGAGCGTACCGGGTTCGAATACTTTGGGTACGTGGGAAGTGATTAGTATCACAATGGGTTTGTCTCGCTTGATAGAGACTATGATGTAGTCTCATATGCTATGTGTTTAACTGATAACATGTTTATGTGTTTATTTGGGTATGAGATTTAGTTTCTCGGATGTTGATTGGATCGTTGGGTTTCTGGGAGTCTTGTTGGAAAGGCACTTGATCAATGCTGTTTCTGACCGGAACTCTAGCAACGCCTCGGGACTATCATTATCCGGAAATGAAATTCGTAATGTTTATGTGCTTACGTGGAGTGAATTTCAGTTGTCCATGTATTAGGACGTGAGTGTTTAGCTTCGGCACATGTATGAGTGTGCTAACGTGTCTCTGTTACTTTTACTAGGATGCCTAGGCGAGGAAGTTGTGATTTCCCTCCTTCCGCTCGGGAAGAGTTGCGGAAACAGTTTGTGGAGTTACGCCAAGGTACTACACCTTTGGTGCGATTCGAAAGATGGTTTGCTAACCTGTCGAGGTTTGCTCCAGAATTGGTGGAGACGGAGGACTTGCGCTGTTTTGAGTTTGAGAGTAAGTTACGTGACGACATCCGTGTGAGAATAGCGGGGTCTTGGCAAAAAAAATATAGTGTGCTTGTTGAGGCGGCTGCTCATGTTGAGGCAGCGGTGTTAGCTATGGGACAAGATAGGGAGGAGCCCAAGGTGATGGGTGTTGGCCAGGTTAGGAAGGAAACCATCGTGGGGACTCCTACGGTTTATAGGTATTCTAGGCCTAGTAAGAGGCAGAAGGGTTTTAACCCACTACAATTTCAGAGAGCTCAGTCTGGCTCTACTCTTCTAGTACCAAGTCTAGATTCGGGAAAGGGTGAACGAAAGATTGTTACTTGCTTCAAGTGTGGTCAACTGGGCCACAAGGTTACGGATTGCCCACAGAGGAAGGGGGCAGGGTTAACAGTTCAACCAGGAGTTGTACCACCAGGATCATCTCACCAGCCGGGTTTTGGGCCGATCAAATTCTCAGTGGGGAGGCAGTTGTTGGGGTCTTCATCAGCCCAGAGTCTGAACCAGTCTCGTGCTCAGGCACCGCCTTTATGTTGGATGTGTAATCAGCTGGGTCATATTCGGCGTTTCTGTACTCAGCCGGGGGCTTCTTTAGGGGTTTTACAACCTAGCCAGGCTCAGTTTCATTCGACTGGGCAGGAACAGTATCGTTTTGGGGGACTAGCAGGCCAGATTGCGAGGGCCTCGGTAGGGTCGAGTTCCCAAGCCCCAGTTGGGGAAGTTTGTAGTTGTTCCAGGTGTGGACAGAGGGGGCACGTCAGTAGTTCTTGTCCGTGGTTAGTAAACTCGTAGGTTGTCTTGTGTTTGGAGATGACCAGTTTTGGCGGTCCAGCGAGGGACGGCAGTGGTGGTAATACCGAGGGGTTGGTTTCTTTTTGGCGAATCCGTTTTGTAATCGGTGAATTATCGTTTGTAATCATTGGATTCTGTTGTGTAACCAACGTGTTTTGGGAATGTTGAAACATCTAAACTGTTTGTTTATATATATGTATACATATATGCTTGGTCTGTTAATTTCCTCGGATTGGGTGACTCGGAGCATTGTGTAGCTTTAAAGTTTTATTGACGTGATAAGTTGCTGTTATACCATAAAATCTTTGGTAAATGCATTCTTGTGCGTGTGTTTTGGTTTGGGAAAAGTGAGGACCGTTGAGCTGTGTTTTCAAATTTAGAAGGATCGCAGAGGGATGTGTATCTTAACCAGAAGTGCAAGGAGGGTGAGATTAAACTAGATATAGTATGAACTTAACATGGTGTTTTGCAAGGGCATAGCGCATAATCTTGTTAGAATTAGACTTGTATTTTCGTGGTGGGTAACGTTGCCAAATTGGCATGTGTTGTGATTGGTCATTCGATAGAGGGAGTGTTAGTCCCTATATAAGGGTGTGACTGTTAACATCGGGAGTGGTGCGTTTTGAGCAGCTGGTGCTATATTTCGAGTAGTAGCTTGGGTGCTTCCTAAGTTTCTGGACTTCCTTACTTTGATCGAAAGTGGTGGGTTTATACCTTAACACTGGTTGGGTCGGGAGGTGCTGTCGTGAGGATTGATTGGGTGTATAACCCGTAGTTTGGGTGTGGACCGTGAGTCGAGTCACTGTAGTAAAGTCTTTGCGGAAAAAGGTTTGGAGATATTAATGAGAGGGCTGGGGGCTTTTGCTCCTCTGGGAATTTAGAGTAGTGCATCTTTGAAAGCCTTGTCGGCAACATGCGACAGTGTCGGGATTGGTTCATGGTGGTTGTCTAGCGGTAACATTGGCTAGTGGCGTGGCACGGAGACTGGGTGTCTTGATGGTACTCTCGAGATGAGTGACGAGTAAGATGTAGAGTAACGAGTGGACCCTATGAGTTATTGAGGGACTCGGTGTAGGAGTGAGAGGGCTTGCAAAATAAGGAGGTTTTACATAGTACGGTTGAATGTGTTAGATGTGATGGTTTCGAGAGTTGCGCGGTTTTGGTAAGACTATGTGAGATTTGTATCTCGGGTTAGTAGAAATGGTACCGGTACGTTGGTTCGTGTTTTAGGTCTTGCTAGTCAGTGAGCCCGTGGTGACCCCATCGGTTGTATAGGGGTAGTGTTCGTATTGTGATTGGTTATCAATTGTTGGGTTTGGATTGTAAGTGGATGCTTGCAGCATTCATTGAAGGTAGAGCAGTTCGTGTTCTAAAGTAATGAG